AATTTGGCTCTACTGTGCTAGGCAATGTTTTATGAAAAGAAGTATTATTAGTACGTGTGTATAAAATGAAGACTTATATTTGGGATTTTAGGAATCTAAGGATATTTTTGCAAGTTTTAGATTTAAAATTTTGAAGTAAATGTATGTAATCAAAGAGCTTCCCTTCAAGATCTTCATGAAAGATACACGTGCTGTTGAGTCCTATAAAGTTACTGTAAACAGTTTGATTCTGTTCTAAAAAGGTAGTAAAATGAAACAATGTTCATAATCACTATACTGTAATTAAAATATTTTTTTAAAAAATCTGAAAGTTTTCAGATTTTAAATCACTTCCAAAGGGGGATTTTTTTAACATTTTGTGTGTTACATTTATTTATTAAATATCCGTTCCTCGCACTTAAACCATAAAATTCAATTCAAGAGCAATATCACAAAATAGTTTTAAATTGAGCATATCCTTTAGAATTTTACGCAATCTCACGCGCTGGAGATAAAAATGATTTTTCTGTACAACGTTGCCATTGCTCGCTTTGAAATCCTAGAGTTTGTTAACTGAAAATTCGTTAAAGATTTACAAAATATGAAATGGATAATAAAACAAATTCCAAATTTCAAATTTGGGTTTCCACATGCCCATATTCGTAGCAGGATTACGTCACTCAAAATTCGATGGCTCTATGTACCGTTGATTATCACAATGCGAGAAATATACATATATTTAATGCGTATTTTTCATTATTTAATTTTTTCAAATATAATGCAGGACTCTAACATTGGATGGCAACAGTTTGAAAAGTGAAACGGACATTTATAGTGAACCAACGCAAAATCGCAAAACGAAAACGACTGTCCTTCAGGGACGAAGCCCCTTTGGACTAATCATCTCTATTTTGCAAAATTCTTTCCAGGAAAATATCTAAAAGTTTAGCATTTTAATAAAATTTTTTAAGTCATGAAAGACACATCTTCGAGAAACCATTTTGAATCCCAAAAGGCTGCTAAGCAGAATGAGATTGTACAGGAATTCCAAAATAATAATATCCCTTTAGATTGCTTGATATTAAACATCAAATCAATTAGCACATTTAAAAGGTAATTTCTTGAATTCCTCAGGGATTTTAATGTGTGATGGAAATTTTAGGGAGGGGGAACAAAAAAGTAAGAAAAAGAGAGGTTGGAATTTTTCCGTTAATTTCGTTTATTATTTAAATCTAGTAGTTTAATTTCTATTTAGCAGCAATAAAAGGGGAAAAAATTGAATGTAATATATTTCCATCATAGCAAAGCAAATGATTGTAATTGTGTAATGACTGTATTTTTCAGAAACTATGAAAGCTTAAGTTTGGAAGATGCTCTTTGTTGCTAGAGCAGTGTTAATTACTAACCTGCAAGAGTAAAGGATTATTTTTGAAAGTATAATGTTTTACGAATCACCTAGAAATTCTATAGCGTAGAGAAATATTCTTTATATGCTTATGGAGGTATATGCTTATGGAGGCTTTATATACTATACAGTACTAAAATCTTCAGAATAATCTTGATGTGGGCACTGTACACATACATAAAACCGAGCATTGTTTAGGATAAAATTGCGAAACATGGTTTTTGCAATACATGCAATTACGTATCATTAAAGCAAATTCCTTTCGAAAAGCTTCTTATATAGATTTTCTGCGACATTATTAAAATGATTTTATACTTAAGATTGAAAGGTTACAAACAAAAAAATCGCGGATGGAAACGTCGCGGAGAAAGCAAAGCAAGGCGAAAATATCATCAGACAAACCATCGTGGGAGAAGAGAAACAAAGGAGAAAACATCGCAGTTCTAAAACGTCATGGGATAAAAATTAATGCGGTTCAAACTTCGCGGTTTAAAAACATCGTCTTCGAAAATATCCTGAAAAAAACATGAAGCACTTGCAAATAATTACTGACGATAACTTGGCAGGAATGCGTTTTGCAGGCTTCTAAAGTTGTAAATTCGCATAATTATTTGTGAGCAAAAAAGAAGGAGCAACATTTTTTACTTTTCTATTTCATATCTTTGAATTAACTAATAAATGTTTTCTGAAAAAGTACGAAGGAAACTTCAGAAACCAAAAACTGAAAATTAGTAGAAAATAAAATTTGCTTTTAACGATCAATAGAATTGTGATCTTACGAAGTTACGTAATAAAGGTCGTTAAATTAACTAAAATCTTTTATAATTATTTATTGGTAATTTTTCAGGAAAAACTAAAAGCTGATAAAAGGTTAGGGAATGGAAGATGAGTAAGTCCTTGAGATTGCCTCTGCTATAATTGTTTAATTAATTATCAAATTAACATATTATTTTCTTTCACCTTTGTTAATCTGATATATTTTCAGTGAAAATTAAGTCTTGTTTTGTTTCGGTTTATTCGTCTTCTTAAAGTATCATAAAACATTTTTATGTGCAGCGTGCATTTAATAATTTGGATGCTGATTTACTAGTTAAGACGAAACATATCAGCCATAATTTTCAAGTAAGGGATTTCGATTTATTAAATGATGGCAAAGTGCGCTAGTGCTACCTGCTTAAGGAAAGGCGTGCCTTTGTGGAGGACTTTCTCAGGAACTGGCTTGTTTCGAAGTTATACATTAAGAAAACCACAAAAATCTCATTAAGCCAGCTCATCCGCCTTACCGAACTACCAGTGTTTCGTGATTTTACCGTTCGATCACTGCTTCTGGCCAGTTCCACAAGAGAACATTAACGGAAACATGTCCGCTTTTACATCAGTCGTTGGGAAGAATCGAATTTAAAAAGATTCCTCATTCCCCTTTGCTCTCACAAATCATTATGTGAATGCGCAGTTACAATTTTTAAATTCTGAAAAACGCGCATGTCTGCAATGCTATTATCACGCGATGATTTGTAGGTGTTTTATTTTTTACCACGATGTTTTCGACGACGATGTTTTTAAAATGCGGAGTTTTGAAACCGCTTAAGTTTCAACGACGATATTTTATGATGTTTTAGAACTGATTTTTGATATTTTGTATCACGATGATTAAGAGCACGATGTTTTCTCCTTACTTTCCTTCCTCCCACGATATTTCATTCGACGACGTTTTCACCTTGCGTTGTTTTCTTTTTCTTCCACGTTGTTTTCTTTTACTTTCGCGTTGTTTTCTTTTCCTTCCGCGATATTTTCGGTGGACACCTTGTAGAGACATTAGGTGCTTTTTGGAAGCAGGATAGAGGAAAAATGAGCAACGTCTTCTCCGGGAATTGAACACTGAGCTCTGGAATACGTGCTCAGACTGCTGACCACTACACCACGAAGGCACTCCAAGAAAGCGGGGAAACTCGCTTATATACTTCCCCTTTTAAATGGCGACTGCCGTTTAGAGAACCCAATCTCCAAATCCTAGGTATGGAGAACCATCATCCACCAACCTTTAAATTCGGGCGCCAGTGTAGAGACATTAAGTATTTTTTGAAAGCAAGGAGAGATTGCCAGGAATCGAACCACGGATCTCTTTATTACGCACCCAGAGTGCTGACCACTACACTGCGAAAGCATGTTAAGAAGGCGAGAGAAATACTTTATAACCTAAGAATGTTACCTTCGAATATAATAAACCTCTAAAAGAAATGCGAAACATCGAATGTTTGAGCTGTTTTCTTCATTCGAATCGTTCAGGTCCTAACTAAGCTAAAAATTTGATGAATGTTTTATCTCGAAATTCTAGAAAGAGACGCAAAAGTTCATTAAAAACGTTCATATAAAAATTAATTATATATTAATTATTAAAAATATAACTATTAGAAATTATATATAATAATAATACAAAAATTTTAATGTTTCTGGATTTCCAATGTTATCTTGTTTCCTAAACGTATTCAGCATTAAGGGTTTTGATGCACTGTTAAAGTGAACTTACTGATTTTTCTGAATATTGATTTTTCTGATAATGTTCTGAAGGAAATTTCATTTTCCATTTTGATGTTGAGTTAGTCCTCACCCAGATCTAAAAGAATTCTTAAAAAATTTCGTCTGTTACTCAAATAGCTATCTTTTAAAATTATGTTGAGGCAATGAACTTTAAGATTTACGAGTTTTAATTATAATTAATTTCATTTATATATTGCTCAATTATATACGCACTTTTAAACAATATACTTGTAGAGCTATTAGGTTTATTTTGATGCTAGAGACGTTAAAAATGAGCAATGTCCTCGCCGGGATATCTCGAATACGCGCCGAGTGTGTTAACCGTTACACCACGAAGACATGCGCAAAGGAGGGGTAAAATACTTTTTATACTGTTTAAACCTTTTTTAATTAAATTCTAATTAAAACTCCGAAGTTTACGAATGAGACACTTTCAATGTCGAATAAAGTTAGTTTCTTCATTATTTTTCTGCAGAGATTTTGAAACAATCATGATTCAGGAGATTTTGAGAAATTTGAAAATATTTTGGAACTTTTATCTGAATTCAAAAAAGTTTAACATCCATCTCATCTCTTCTTCAGAATTTGATACAATCAAATTATTTCTTTCCTTTCCACTTTTGCAAAGTAACCTTACAGCACTGTGTTACAATAAGAAGAACAGCAAAACAAGAATGCGTATGATAGCTATCTTCTTTAATTATGCAATGCGCCGTAATTTTAGGAAACTTGATTTGAAATCTTGTGGATATTAAAACGAAAGTTAAAACCTCTTAACTTCTCTGCAATTCTTATTACCTTAATTTTTATCTTTATCTTAATAAAGTGAAATATGGAAGTCAAAGAAGAATATAATTTAAGAAAGGCTTATTTAATGATATGATTTTAAAATGGTGTTTGATGTTCATTGCTATCAATGCAGTATTTTATAAACTAGACAAAAACTGTCTTTGTTACATGTTTTAATGTATTTATAAGCAATTAATGCTTATTTTAGTAAACATTAATGTATCTGATTTTGTGTTTAAAATCTTACGACAAATACCATTTGTTGATACTTATGTGACTTTCTTTCCAGAATTTATGCTTTTGTACTTTGGTGCTCCTTTTGTGTGACGTCACTGGACTCGGATATCGACGACCTCCTTATTCAAAAGAATATTATCCACGAAGACGACCGTATATAGATGAAAATATATCTTATAGCTCGCCACAACGGTCACCTGACTATGTATCATCCCATCCAGATTATTTGTGGCAGCAGTTCTGGGACGCTGTCAACTATAATGGCCCTCTTGAGGAAGTTTTCCAACAGATCCAGCCAAGTAACATTTATCAAGATGAGTATCTTCGGCCGGAGTTCTTCTTTTCCAGAAGATTGCCAGTTGTTCCCTCTAGAAATACCAAAGATGAACACGAAGATGAATATAATAGATACAGAGAATACTTCTATCGTAGATATGGCACAAACTTCGTTGATTAAACGATTGTTTATTTCCTCAGACTACGTAATGCACAGTAAATATTTTACGATACTAATCATAAACTCTTTTCGCCTATGCAAGGTACTATTCTCGTTAGCTGAAATATTTTGCTGCTGTATTATAATCATTTCATTGTAGCATGGAGCTTATATACCTTGTTGCCGTAGAAAGATTTTCCCATTGCGCAAACCCTTTGTATAGAGCTGCCATAGAGAAATTATTACATTCAACTGACTACTCACAACTATATTACAGAACTCTTCTTCAAAGATAGCATACGTGAAATGTATGAATAAGATAAGACGAAATGTGCATAAGAAGATTTTTAATAAATACATTTTTTAACCAAAAGCATTTTGAGAAATATTATTTTCTGAACATTATTTAACAATATAATTAACTGATGAAGTTAATAAATATTTTAAATTTTCAGTTTTCTTATAAATGTCAATGATTTGATTGTTATTCTTATAGAGATTATGAGAATGTATGCAAAAGGTATATTAAAGTGTCCTAGAAAAAGAAAAAAAAGTATTTAGAGGAGATTGTGATTTGCACTAACATTATTGTTAATATTGGAAATCTTTTATAAAGATCTCCAAAAGATAAAGATATTTTTATTTTTTATAAATATCTTTCTATTTTTGGAGATATTTTATTATTAGTCCAAAGGGGATTTTGTCCCTGAAGGACTATTGTTTTCGTTTTGTGATTTTGCGTTGAATCACTATAAATGTCCGTTTCCCTTTTCAAACTGTTGCCACCCAATGTTAGAGTATTATATTTGAATGCTCTAACATTGGGTGGAATTACAGGAATATATAGTATTATATTCCTGTATTATATTTGAAGAAATTAAATAATGAAAAATCTGCATAAATGTATGTATATTTCTCGCGTTGTGATAAAACAACGGTAAATAGAGCCATCGAATTTTGAATGACGTAATCCTGCTGCGAATATGGGCATGTGGAAGACCAAATTTGAAATTTGGAAATTGTTTTATGATCGATTTCCTATTTTTAAAAACTTTAATGAATTTTTGAGTAACAAACTCTAGGATTTCAAAGAGAGCAATGGTAACAATGGTTGTGGGGGGAAACCTTTTTATCTCCAGCACGCGGAACTGTGTGTCGGAAATTCTAAAGGTTATTTTGCGACATTGCTATTGAACTGAGTTTTATGGTTTAAGTGCAAAGAACATGATATTTATAAACTGGAGATTATTTATTTCCTATCTCCAGTTTATAAATATAAAGGTAACACACAAAAAGTTAAAAAAACGCGCCTTTCGACGTAATTCAAAATCTGAAACCTGCAGATTTTTTTTATATATATTTTGGAGATTTTATTTATCTATCTTATATATTTATTTTGGAGATATTAGTTAGTTTCGGAGATATTTTATTATTTTTTTATATATTTTGGAGATTTTATTTATCTATCTTATATATTTATTTTGGAGATATTACTTAGTTTTGGAGATCTTTCTATGAATACTTATACACGGCGCCTTTAAATATACCCAACGAAGCAAAAGTTAGAATCTGCTCAAAGGCCATAACAACAGTAAGATCTTGTATTGTAAGTTCCATTTCCATAAAAGTTAAATGAACTTGCGTGAACAGCAACTATGGGTGAGTTGCAATTTTTCTATGATTCCATAAATTGTTCTTTTTTGTGACTTTTTTCAGTTTTTCACTGAAGATAACATATTCATAAACTAGAGACAGCATAGTTATAAAAATGATATAAAACCCACTTATAGATGTTTAACATTTGGCATTCTCTATAGGATAGCTCACTTGCCAAAGCATTTGATAGCTTTTTTATCACACGGAAGAAAGTGCCTATCGTCTGCGTTGAAGCTTAGAAAACTATATACTTACTAGCCACTACACCACGAAGACACGCCAAGAAGGTGGGAGAAATACCTTATAATGTAATAAACAATGAACAAATTTCAATAATACATTAGTTAGTATAACTAGACGTGTGTTCAACACTTTACACAATAAGCAATATACAAGCTATTACTATTTATACACATATAAATTTGATTATTACACGCACATAGTTCAAATTACAAATCGTTCCATTTGCGTACGTATAAATAAAACTGACAGCTTTTAAGTACTGACAAAACTAATATATTTACACTTAGTATATGCATGCTTTTATAAAAGCAAAGGCTGCATAAGAAAGAATCCTAGTACATATCTCAATGACTAAGTGTGTCTGCTTTTTCTCGTATATATCTAATTACGTATAAATGCATTTACAGATCTTACTTATTGCCTATCAACATTTGCCCCATTCAAACATTCAGGAAGAAAACAAATGCATATTGTTCATTTTAGCAGAGATATTCAACTTGTTTTTTGCCTCAATATGTGACATAACTCAAACGAACTTTGACTCACTGACAACTGAATGCAACACGCGTATCAGTATACAAGGAATGCACCACGTGTTGAATGGCTTTTTCCGATATGGCAACGTGGAAGACCCTGATTCGTATACACAGTACTTTTAAATATCTGTCAACAAAGCAGAAGTTAGAATCTTCTCAAATGCTCTAGCAGTAGCCAGATCTTATATCTTAAGTCTCATTTCCATAAAGCAACAAAATGAGTTTGCGTGAGGAGCATCTATGGGTGAGTTTTCGTGCTAATTTTTGTTGTCCTTAAAATATACCTGCTTCGAGATAATATCCCCGCAAATTTGCTTTGCTCCGATAAATTGTTCTTTTCTTATGACTTTTTATAGTTTTTCGCTGGAGCCTACACATTTTAATTCCACGAACCGTAAAAAAAACATTGGAGATTGGGAAATTTGAAGCTTCATGATGTTTTTGTAATTCAAATCTTTCGGATCTCAAATTAAAAATCGCTAAATATTTTAATTCTGATTTGATTACGTAAAACAACCTAAAAGAAATCTACCTACGTACTAATCAGTTACTGGAACTTCAGTGGACATGGATCAACAATATCATAGAGTAACATTAAAGAGTTTAATGTTTAATTCTTTAATGAAATGTTAAAATAAACATTTATTTTCATTTTTCTTATTTTCTTCGGAGAAATGTGTGTTGTAATTTACGTGTTCATCTATGCTTACACTTTAACCTCCTGCCCTTTTCACTTGCCTGGATTAAAACAATTGTGGAAAAATATAAACAATTTGAACTATTGCAAAAATGTATTTTATAAAGAAATATTGTGAAAGGAACTTCAAAATTTAACTTTACATAAATTTAATAACCAAGTTTAAATTATTTATTTCTTTCACAATATTGCATTTATATCTTTTGAGTAAATACTGTTATATTTTTTATTTTTTTCTTAAATTTGATTTCCATTAAACTTATATTTCACATTTTGCTTTAATTGCAAACTTTCTGTATTATACGCAAGTTTATTTTCTTTTTCATCACAAGATGATTCTTATATTAAAGATTAGAGAAATTGGGAATTCGGAAGATTTCAGGAATTCGAGAACTATTTAGAATTCGGAATCGAGTGCTAGGAAATTAAGGATTTGTCTATTTTTATGTTTGCGTACTTTTGAAACATCTTGTATTTATTTTTGGAAAACAGTATGAAATGTAAAATTAAGATAATGTCATTTGTATACTTATTTTTACGTTATGAGGAAATATTGAACTATTAGGAATGTTAAAATATTAATAACAGGGTTTCATACTAAAGAAATTATTTAAGAAAACTTAGCCACAAGCTTTATATTATTAGTTTTTTACAATCATACACGTCCAATCATGAAATTCAAACTAAAAAAGGAAATTTCATAAAAATCGTTTCAGCTGTACTTTAGAATGGTTTTATAATTACAAATATAATTATTAAATAGGTCCAGCAGAGCAAATTTTACATCTAGTAATATTCATTATGCGCTAATAAAATACAAAGCATATCGTACCTTTAAGAGATAAATTCAGAGAGATACACATAATTAACACATTGTGGCAATTGTTGAATTCTTCGGAAAAAACGCACGGCGCCTGTGTATCACTTTACTTAATTAGCAGGACTTATGAGCGGTTTCTGACGAGGACATTGGAGATCTTAAAACTTGTTTTTTCACACTCATGTGTGTATTTACTCTACAATTAATTAGTTGCTTTAACTTTGCAGCAAATATGTAGAGTATTATTTCTGTATGAAGTTTATTAAAAGCATCTGAGCTTTTCTTTTTGTAGTTAGACAGTTCATGCGTTTTCTAAGTTTTCTTTTAATTTTGCGCATCATTGTGTTAACCTTACTCATTCACATTAAACTGTGCAGTATATCTATGATGAATATCTAACTCAAGAATTCGGCTTTTCATCGCAAATTATACTTCAAATGTTTCTGAAAATTGATATAACCACTACGTACATTTGATTATTTTTTTTTTCATTTTGTAAGTCATTTTATAAGAACTATTTTCAATTCCAAATGGCATGAATATTTACCGCAATATTTCACCTTTCTGTGTCACAATTTAAATTTTCATTTGGCTAATTATTCATCAAGAACTGACCTATCTGATATTAATTTAGTTAATTAATCATCGAAATGTTTATTCTACCTGCAATTTCGTTTCTTTTGGAACGGTATGTGATGTTCTTTATCATTAGAAAAAAAAATCGGATATACATCCAGCTAATGAAACCTGTAGATATATCTTGGATATGTTTTTAAAGTTTCGTAAAAGTTCTTTTAAAATTTAGAAAAGAATACTCTGTATTTTATACATTTTGTTTAAAATAACAAAGACCATAGAAGCAGTTGTTTTATTTCTAAGAACGAAATTTCTAAACTTTCGTTAAATAAGTACATCTAAAACACTCAGTTGGAAATGCAGTTTACTTTAAATATAACATGATATGTATTGATTTTATATCTCCAATAAAAATATTTGTACAGTTGGATTTAATTTATGCTGATGTCTTAGCTTGAAATACTCAAATTCAAACTGTACTTTCCCTTAAATCAATTTATATTCACGCTTACACTGACAGCAGACATAAGAACTGTTAATTATTTTGATGAGATAATAACTATTCGTGATGATGATTTTCTAAATGCTGTAATTGGTTTTTCTTACTCTTTCATATCAAACTGCATAATTTTCCAAAAACATTAAGGTTGTATAATAGTTATAAAATTATGTAATAATTACTGCCTGTAAAGTATTTTGCTGAATGAGTGCACATGGCAAAAATAATAATATTGCAATCGAATCTCCTTTCGCGGATGGTCGTGAGATCTGCTAAATCAAACTGATTTTACATTTTACTCTCTGACTTTTCTAAACATTAATAAAGAAAATAACTATGAATATCT